TATATATATATATATATATATATAGACAAATAGATAGATGAGGGATCATTTGAGAATAACAATTATGATGAGAAGGTGAGAACGTTTTTGAGTCTTTGGATGAGTTGACTTTTTAATCTAACTTGATTTTCTTCAACTACATGTCTATATCCATCTACCTTCAATTACATCCATTTACGTTTTTCTTCAAATTTATCTTAGCTTTTAAGTCATTTTCATGAGCTTTTACATACGTTTAATTACTTTCACATACATGAATTTGTTAAAGTTGCGGTCATAATGATAAAAATAGGTAAATAAAGGTAGTTGAATGTAGATGAAGGTATATAAATGTTTTGTTCTCATATTCTCATCATAACTTTTATTCTCACTTAAACCCAACCGACACGTGCGTGTGCACACACACACAAAGGGTCAGGTTCAGGAGAAAATTGCAAAAAAGTTAAAAATTGAGGAGCACCTTTGTAACGATTCATTTGGACAGTATGCACATGTGCATACAAGTAATTTTTAAGTAATTTGTCTGGTATGCACATGTGCATAACATGCACACTTGCATAAAAACGAATAAACAATTTTAATTACTTGTATGCACATGTACATACCGTTCAGATGAATGATTACCAGAGTGTTAATCAGTTTTTCATTTTATTGGATTTTCCCCTGAATCTCTCCCCCCCTTCTCTCTCTCTCTCTCTCTCTCTCTCTATATATATATATATATATATTGTGTGTGTGTGTAAATATATAGGGAGGTTCGGGGGAAATCTCAAAAAAAATGAAAAACTGAGGAACACTCTGGTTACTATTCATCTAGACGGTGTGTACATGTGCATACCGGTAATTGAAGTTGTTTCTTAGTTTTTATGCACATGTGCATACTAGACAAACAACTTAAAATTACTAGTATGCAAATGTGCACACCGTTCAGATGATACACACAGACACGCACACACACACTATAAGAGTAGTTGCGTAATGCAACGTGATACATCTTGGTTTTAATGTTTTGTTTATTATTTGCTTATGTCGATGCTATCCTACGGTTTTATGTGATTTTGAGAAAGCGATAATATTCTCATGTTTCAATTAATATAAATTTGAAGATCTCATAAAATTTTGAAAAATAAAAGATATCTCGATTATCAAGTTAACTATCCAAAAGTTCTTTTTTTGTGTAATTTGTTTAATTCATTTTTTTATTATAACTTAATTTACATTTAATAAGAAAGTAATTTACTTTCGTTTTAATAATATATTTTTTTTCAAATCTGTTAGAAGTTAATAATTATCTTAATTATATTTTAAATTTTTTTACATTTATAATAAGATATTTATCATGTATTTGATTATGTTTACCTGCAGCTAGTTACACGAGTTAAAACATAGAACTTTAACAAGTTGTACTTACGCACTATTACTCGTAACCTTGAATTTTAATTAATATACATCAATAAACAATAGATAATGTATTAAAAATGATTTTTAAAAGTTTATATGAGATATTTTATAATATAGTATAGATTATAAATTAGTTTAATGGTCGTTGTTGTTTAGGTGACACGAGTACTTTTGGTATTAAATCAAAGACGCGTTCATAAGGACTCAAAATGTCGTTTTTGATTCTAGTTTGGTGGGTTACATTGAATGTTGTTGAAACACTCGTTTCTTGTATATATCAATAATTGACTACGTGTGAAATGACCTATCTACCCCTCACAATCAGAATAATGATCAATCAGTGTCTTTTAAACAGCTTGTATGATGCTGTCCATGTATATATATATATATATATATATATATATATATATATATACTTTCCTAGTACTAAGTGTATATAAACTTGTACCTTTCTTCTTGATATGATGGCATTCATCAATGCCAATAATTCTCACCTTCTTTCTGTATCATAATCAAGTGCATTACCAATTGTACTTCTTATTTAAAAAGACTAAACTACCCTCGAGAGATCTTTTTCGGAAACGGACGATCACAGATTTCGTCCGGACTAATTCCATGGAAAGTTGTGATCGTAGGTTCAGCCCACAACCTTGAGGTAAATCTCCGGTTGGCCAGAATCGCATGTGTAGATGGTAGGATTCGAACCCGAGTTGATTTTATTATCCCTTGTCTTTATTCACCTCGCTTGTCGTTACCCTTTGAGACCACATTTTGGGAAACATTGCTAGAATTACAATGTAGTTTGCAAGAAACGAGCGGTTTTGAACAAATTACATAAAATATAAACGCGAGAAACATGTTTTGATCGAAATCACTCATTCTTACAGACAGAGACGTTCCAATCTTTTTGATGGTCCTGTTATACATAAAACTTTTGATTACACTGTAAAATAAGATGACAAATATAATATACAAATTACAGAGACGATAGCGACATAGATTCCCCTTTTCTTCTAATATAAATTAGAAAACCCCCGAGTTGGGCTATAGTTTTTCAAAATCACGCATTTAACATGCTAAAGAAGACGCTCACAAAATGTAATGTTATTCTTACGATTTTATAAGAATAACGGTTTATTTACAACGAAAAAATCTCGAAAAAAAGAAGGCAACTTTGAACTCAATATTAACATGTCTTTTACAAGATTAATATACATGTCATGAATCAAAGTGTAACTGCCATTACTGCTTTTTTAGTTTCTTGAATCTTGATGATCGATAATCCCACTGTAAAAAAAAATGTACTGAAGTACCATGATCATGAGCTACTAGCATTATTAGCAGCCTCTGAGATACTTTGCAAAGATGGCCGCCATGATTTTGATCTCGAAGCTGCAAATATCGACGAAGATCCAGACCTTTGTCTGAACATTCTTTCATGTCCTTCAACCTGCAAATGATCGATATTAATTAGAATTCAAAAACCCTTTTAAATCTTTAATTCTTTCATACGAAAATTAATTAATTAATGTGGGAATTTAATATAATTATACCTGGTGGTGGTCGTTGGTGTCGTCGACGACTGAAGTAGGGTGGTTATCCGCCATTGATTCCGGCAAATTCTTCTTGTTCATCTTTGCATGCCTTTTTGCTCTCAAAACCTTCATAACCTCTGTACATTAAGGTCCTGTTTGTTAGTTAGCAGTTTAAGTAGCTTATTCTATTATGACTGTTTGGTAGTCACTTGATGATATACAAAATGAGTTATTCAGTAAGGTTTTAGAGGAGAGCTTTATGCAGAAAAACCAAAAAAAAATTCTTCCAAACTTGTTCCTCCCAATTAAAAAAGCACGTTGCTTTCGTTTATGAAAAAACCCTTCTGAACCAAACATTCTCAATGTATAACAAGGGATTAGTCGACATAACAAAGACAACTTAGAGTTAGTTAAAAACTAGCGAAACAGCCTCTAACTATAATTAAGATTGATGTGAATGGAAGAAGTAGTAAAGTAATAATATATACCATGAGTAGTAACAAGACGATAAGCTCGACCAAGAACGAGGGTTTCGGTGGGTCGAAGAAGCTTAACACGAGTAAATCGAATGGTTTTACCATCTTCAGGAGGCAATGGGATGATGATAGAAACATGGTGGCCTGGATTCATCTTCATGATCTCACTTGCACTTACAGACCAATACATTCTGTCTATTTTTCCATTTGGATGTTGTATTACAAGTGCAGCTGCATCTACTGCTTGACAGTTTCCCATTTAATTTTCTCTCTCTAGAAATCTTTAATTTGTTTCTCTCTCTCTCTCTCTCTCTCTCTAGATGAAGATGAAGATGATGCAGAAGAAGAAGAAGAAGAAGATAAGGGAGGAAGATGAGAAGGAAGGTAGGAGGTGAAGAAGTTGAAGTCAGCAAAAGTGGTGTATTTCTCTACAGTGCTCTTCACCACCCCTCCCTTATCTATACTCTACTCTACCCCTCCCTTCTAGGATTTACAATTACACCCTTTAATTTGGTAAATAAATCTTCATTTTTTAAATTATATATATATATATATATATATATATAACTAAGAGACACTCTAATAATTATTCATCTAGACGGTATCTATATATGTGCATTATGTACGTGATCAGAAAAATTGCTTACAAGTTACTTGTATGCACATGCACATATCGTTCAAATGTACGGTTACTAGAGTGTTCCACAGTTTTTTTGTTTTTTTATGGTTTTCTCTTAAACTTGACCATATATATATATATATATACACACACACGTAAGAGAGAGGGGTTGAGTTCCCACGTGACACACCATGAATGTTTGGTGTGTGATTTTCCTGAAGGTTTGATGTATTTTTATTTGAATCGTTTGTTTTCATGTGAACGTTGAAATTAATTTTTTTTTCATGTAAGGGTTTGTTTTTCACATAGAATGTATTTATGTATGGTCTTGTGACGTTTAGTGTTCTGTTGTTGAGGTTTGACGAGATAAAAGAACTATCCGAAGGCTCATAATTACAGGTCTTATAAAAACTGTTTTATCTCATCTGATCCCACTTCTCTCTCTCTCTCTCCCCCTATATGTGTGTGTGTGTGTCTATATATGTATATACTATAGGAAAAGACCAGAGAGAACTTTTAAAATCAAAAAAGAACCAAAGAACTAATTGAAACTGTTAGATTGATATGATTCAACAGATGCGTTTTAAAAAGTGATTTTAACCCCATTTAAAGAAAATAGAAAATATCTCTTTCTATTTTTTTTAACTGAAAACAGACAAAATATAACAAAAATTGGAGCAAACAACGATCAATTGATTATATTTAATTTGATATCCATTTTAATATATTTTCATCCGGTTTTTATGAATGTTTAATTCTTAATTTTGAGTATCTATTATATGTGTGTGTGTGTGGGGGGGGGGGGGGGGTTTCAAATACAAACCATGTAATTTTAACAAACTATACAAACCATTGTATTAAGAAAACAATTGAGATACTTATGGACAATTATCATGATTCATTAATTACGATTGATATATATATATATATATATATATATGAAAGATGATAAAGTTCATTTATTATGATCATGACTTTAGATTAGCAAACAAAATAAAATTAAATATTTATCAGACTAGATGAACGATTAAGATTGATTTATAAAAGTTTGTTAGAATTACATCGTTTATAAAAGTTTGTTGATATTTTGATGATTTAACGAAATAAATGAACCAAATCTCCATCAAAGAAAGAAATCTTTAAATTCTTTATGGGTCCCTCTATATTTAATTATTACATGCACTTGCCCATACATAATTAATCAACATCTAAATTAATAATGGTCGTTTACCTAAATGCTTATCCGGTAAGTGTTTATTGATAAGAGTCAACACTATAATTTATTTTGATGCGTAAGATTTTAATACATCAAAATATATAGAATGTAACAATTTACAGGGTAAATGCTTATCTGGATAAGAGTCGTCATTCTCACTTACCGGGTAAGACTTTTCATCCTTCTCGTCGCTCTTACCCGGTAAGATTCTTGGTCTTTCTCATGTTCATCCGATGAGAAAATTTATCCAATAAGCACTTACCAAGTAAGTGTTAGTAAACGACCCTTAAATTTGGTTTTGTACAAACACCTTATTTGATCGGGATATTCGGCTTTTACTTTCGGTTCAGGTTTGGATTTCAAACTATTCGGGTCTTGTACACCCCTGAAAATAGGTGGAATAAAAATCAGAAAGATAAAAAAGTATTGGTAAATTATGAAACTACTTATATTTATATTATATTATAATTTTTTTTGACAAAAACTCTTAAAAATAATTTTGTATACATGAAATACTATTTATTGATACATATTACAAGTAAATTGTACGTAGATACAACCTATTAAAGATTTATTTTTTAATTCGTATAACTAACTGTAGATAAAAATAATCAAATATAAGATAAACATCTTATTTTAAATATAAAAAATAGAAATATAATTAGGATAATTATTCTTATAAAAAATTATATTATTAAATATAAATAAATTACTTTGTTATTAAATTATAATAAAATTTTGAATTAAAAAAATTATATAGAAAACGAGAATTTTAAATAGTTAATCTAATATTAATATCGATACATTTTTTTCAAATTTATATTTCGTATAAAAATAAAAATATTATCGTTTTCTAAAATCACGTAAAATCGTATTATATCGACAAAGAAAATGAATAAAATAAAACATTAAAATCATGATATATCTTGTTACATTGCGCGAGTACCATTCTAGTCAAATTAAAAACTTAGGGTCCGTTTTGTTTAGATGATTGTTTTTTGGGGATTTGGATTTCATGAGGGGATTTAGATTGAAATGGATTTGAAATCATTGGTGTGTTTGGTTTGCGGGATTTGGAATGCAATTGGATTCGATTGTTTATAAATAATCTATAAATAATTATAAAAATAATTAAATAACATTTTTTATTAATCGATTATTACAAAATAAATGTTTTAACATTTTTCAAAATATTATTTCATACAATCCAATAAAATCCCGAGTATCTTTCAAAATCCTATGTTTGTATAATTTCAATTAAATCCTAAGATTTCAAATCCGGACAATCAAACAAACCAAACATGAGATTGTAATGGATTTGAAATACAAATCCCCCAAATCCATTCCATTCCTGCAAACCAAACACCACCTTAGAATTTTCCATAATTTTTTCACTCTCGTCAGTATAACAAATGCATTCTTACTGTTACAAAAAATATAAAAAAACCAAAATATTACCCGATTTATATACATGATGATATGTTTTTAGAAAATATTTGTATAAGAATCATATAATAAAACACTGAACAGAACCATCCAAAATGCATAAGTTAAAAAAATTGTCTGAATGAGAAAAGTACTTCTTAGATATTTGAGGGCCTTAGACTTATTCCAACCACAACATGAGTAAGCCATTTATATTTGCTCATCAGTTCCCGAATTTTGTTTTTTTTTTTTACGTTAACTGTAGTTTATTTGAAACTACAAAATAATGCTCAAAAGTTTAGGTATGATGTCTGACGTAAAACTATACTTTTACTTGGCGTAACTGTATTTTTCCCTTAAAAGATCGTATGACGTTGTGAAATACCTCATTGGATCCATCAGTATGCATTATGTCATATGTGCACAAAAATACGTTTTATCCAACCATATGGCATACCAGAAACGAACTAGAATAGTCGACCGTTAGGCAATAAGACTTTACGTTATTTTTTTAGTTTTTATCTGATTCTAATTCAGTTATCTGAAAATTAAAAAAAAATTATTATTATATAATTTAAAGATATCAAAAAGAAATATTTGAGGATACAATGGCCTACCTATATATCATTGTACCCTTAAGGGGGCCATGGTCCTCTTTGTTTTTGCCCAAGTTTTATGGAACCATTATTAAAGTAATTATTTAAATAATATGTATAATTTATTTCATAAGATCTTATGGAGCGAAGTTCACTTTTGGTACTGAATGTTTGTCATTTTCAACAGTTTTCATCCCTTAATTTTGTTTTAACAGATTTATCTGTCACATTTGTCCATTTCCTAATGATTTTGGTCCCTCAGTTTAACGATCGTTAATTTTTTTCGTTAATTCAAATTAAATGAGGGGTATTTTAGGCTTTTTGAGGTTTTTATCTCTTTTTTTTATTAAATATCAAAAATCTTTTTATATGGTCCACTAAAAAAATTTGACGCATCCCTCATTAACCACCTACTACATTCACCTCTCCGTCGGTCGTGAAGCTCTGGTCATCATCTCCAAACCCAAAAAATTTAGAACTAAAATCTAAATCTAAACCTCAATACTACCCTTCAGAAACAATCAAAACCCTGACTGAACTAACAGTACTCTAATAGAGAATAGACAAAATTTAAACCAAAATCGCTTGCTTCCTAGCCGATTTGTTAGTATCTTGAAGAAGAAAAAAACCCACCCTCACCCACCGAAAACCTCTAACTATGCTTTGTCTGTAACCATCCAGAGAGGGAAGATCAATGGGATTGGGCGGTTCCGTGGCAGATCATGGAGAAGGAAAATGGGATGAGCAAGGAAAGAGGAAGGTGTTCGTAGCTATGGTGGAGGATGAAGTCGATGGTTGTTGGTCTCAGTGAGAGCATGGGTTGGAGGCAAAGAGTGAGGCCGATGGTGAAGTTGGAGGTTTACGGAGAAGAAAGTTGCTGGAATGAGGAAAGCGAACGGAGGTACAGGGAAGAGATGATATCATATATGGAAAGGTTGATTTGAGAAGTGGTAAATATTTGAGAATTAAAGAAATGATCCTAACCCTTCATCTAATCAACATTTGCAACTTTGATCATGAAATATCGGATAATTCATTGCATGGATATGCAGAAGATAAAGAAGTAGTTTTGTAACTGTTACAAATAGGTGGCAAACGGATTCACATGTGAACTCATTTGATACACACATGAATTTTATGTTCATGTGTGAACCCATTAAATAGTTCATATGTGAATTATTTAACTAATTCATATATGAATCACACAGGTTCATATGTGAATCAGTTAACATAGTTAATATGTAAATTATACAAGTTCACATATGGACATATAGTTAATATGTGTATCACATAGATTCATATATGAATATATTTGTCGCCTATTTGTAACAGTTATGAAATATCATCTCTATTTTTCGCATAACCACAATTGTTGACCAGTCAAATCCGATATTGACCATATGAAAGGATAAGATCACTTCTTTACTTCTCAAATATTTACCACTTCTCAAAATAAATTTTAGCTATATATATGTATACACACACACATAAATATTTTAATAAAAAAATGAGATAAAAATCCAAAAAGATCAAAATA